CCCCCCCCCCCCCCCGCCTCCCAGAGGAGAGCCGTTCTTTCCTGGCTCTCAGGACCCTGAAAAGAGGCTGGGGTCTTGGGCGGGCGTGTCCCGTGCGGGGCTTGGCGGGGCTGGGACTCCCTTCTCCCCTCCTCCTCCCACCCTGCCCGCGCAGGTGGGGCCCTGGCCCCTGCTCACCCACGAGTCTCCGGATGGACACCCGTAAGAGCAAGCCGGCTGGGCATCCACACTGCCAGGTCCCCTGAAGGCCACCTGAGCGGCCCTAGATTCCCAGTCGCTGCGGGTGGAAGTCGACCGCTCACGTCCAGCCACCTGCCGGCCCTGGGTGCAGGCCGCGCCCTGTCGGGCTGTGAGCACCCTGACACCAGCCAGGGAGCCTGCGACTGGGGGGGCGGGCATGACGCCCCCCTCCCTAACCAGGGGTGAGGCCCAAACGCCCCTCTCCCTCCAGGCGTGCATCTGTCACTTTGCCTCTCTCCCCGCTGCCCCCGAGCCGGACATTTGGAAGGAAACCTGATCACACAGGGGCCCCCGCCCTCCAGGTGTCCTTGATGCACCTCGGACCTAACACTGACCCTCAGCCCCGAAATTCGGGACTCCCACGGCTTCTCCTGACCACGCGCGAGGCCCGTCGGAGCCCGGTGCGGGGGTCGGGGGGCATCCTGGGTCTCCAGGCGACCCTGTGGGGAGACTCTGAGCACAGCTCTGTCCTCGAGCCATGGAGCCTGGGGCCTGCCTTCAGCCACGTGCCAGGCTCACGCGCTGGGGGGGCCTCATTCTTGGATGAAGGTGCGTGTCTAGGACTGATGGCAGGAATGGGGTGAAAGCCGGGAGGTCAGGTTGCAGGACTGAGGCTCGGCTCTGAGGAGAGCTGCTCGTGAGGCTACTTCCAGCATGATTTTCTTTCTTTTCTTTTCTTGCCGAAGACCCGTTTGCTGATTAACCTGTCTGCCCTCGGCAACCAGCGAAATCCCACGGGAGTTCTAGAACTTCGCGTTGAGTGTTAGTGGCAGTGCAGCTGTGCTGAGGTTTTTCATGTGTTTTTAACGTTTATTCATTTTTGAGAGAGGCAGAGCGTGAGCGGGGAGGGGCAGAGAGAGGGGGACACAGAATCCGAAGCGGGCTCCGGGCTCCGAGCCGTCGGCACGGAGCCCGACGCGGGGCTCGAACCCACGAACGGTGAGATCGTGATCTGAGCTGAAGTCAGACGTTTAACGGACTGAGTCACCCGGGCGCCTGGAGGTTTAAATTTTTACTCCTCAGACCCCCATTTCTGTCTCGTTGGCCCCCTAGAGCCCCTCAGGCACACAGGGAAACCGAGGCAAGCAAATCCATGCAGAGCAGACCCTGTCAGGGCCCTGCCCCGACCCCTCGGCCCACCCCAGGGCACCCCCTGGTGCGGGAGCAGGTGCAGGCCACCTAGGAAGGGGAATTAATGCCCAGGAGTAGGTAGATAACCACCCAGGATGGAGCCCGGCTGCCCCAGGCCGTGACCCTGCCTGCAGCCTGCCTCTCTCAGCCCCTCCCTCCGTGCCCACCTCCCCTCACCCTCAGTCTGGCCCCCGAGACGACCTCTCGGGTAAACCTCTGAACCCACGCACTCAACTCAGGCTCTGCCCTTGGGGGACCCAGACTAACACACAGCTAACTGGCGTCAGAGCTGGAACCGGGCCGGGGGGGGGGGGGGGGGGGGGGGGGTCCGGCCCCGCCTCCCTGCATCGGTGACGGCGAGTGTCTCCTCGAATGCCGGCTCCACGGAGACGGGGCCACCGTGCGCCCACCCTGCCGGCCCCAGGGTGGGCGCTCGGGCGGTTAGGACCCCGCTCCCCTCCACGGGCCCGCCCCTGACGGTCTGACAGGGGTGATCTGTCCTCCCCTCGCAGCTGCTGAACTCGCTGTCCGTGGACCCCGACGCCGAGTGCAAGCACGGCCTCTACCTCCGGGATGGCAGACGCAAGGTGGACTACATCCTGGTGTATCACCCCAAGAGGCCCTCGGGCAGCAGGACCCTGGCCAGGAGGGTGCAGCACGGCGACACGGCCCCCGCAGCCCGCGGCACCAGGCAGGACCAGCCGCTGCCGGGCAAGGGGGACGTGGGGGCGGCGGGGGGCCCCGAGCCCCCGATGGACTACCATGAGGACGACAAGCGTTTCCGCAGGGAGGAGTACGAGGGGAACCTCCTGGAGGCCGGCCTGGAGCTGGAGCGGGACGAGGAGGTAACCGTCCCCGCTTCCTGTGGGCGCGCGGGGTGCGCAGGCCGGCCGGGGCCCCGGCGCCGTGTCCACAAGGCGGTGCGGCGAGGGGTCCTTCTGGATTTAGCCTGCTCTCCGACAAGGGCCGACGCAAAGGCCGCTCCTGTTAAGGTTGGGCAGAAATCGCTCGTTCGGGTTTGGGGGAGACCCCCCAGCCAGCGACCCGCACCCACCAGCCCCGGAGACACCTGCTCTCGGGGAGGGGCTGGCCTTCGGGGTCAGGGCGTTTCCTGCTCTGGTCACGTCCTTCCTGGAGACTGACGTTGGCCCTTCTGGGGCCTCAGTTTCTCAATCTGTCAGGTGGGGAGGTCAGTCTGGCTTGATCTCTGGGGGCTCTGGTGCTCTGAAATCCCCCGACCATAAAACCGTTCTCTGGAGCACCTGTCCCTGGCGAAGCCTGAGCATCTTTCGAAGGAAAGCGTTCTGGGGAGAATGAAAGGCTGAGTCTCCCGGGGTGCAGGGCCGCCCCGGTGGCGGGAGGCTGGGCAGCGGCCGGGAGCGGGGCCTCGGCAGCCCTTGGGACAGTCGGTGCTTCCCTCCGCTTCTCGGCAAGCTTGCCGTGCCCTCCCCTGCCAGCTCCTTAACCTCTCTGTGCACAGGGTGGTGGGGGGTTCCTTCCGTGAGCACTGGGGGGACAGGCCCCTCGCCCACAGCGCTGTCACCGTGCAGACTGGCCGAGAATGAGCAAAAGTCTCGGCGACACGTTAAGAGCAGCGCGAGTAGTCAGCAGGCGGCCTGAGGGAGCCGTGAGCCAACGGCGCGTGTTTAAAAGTTGGTTTCAGTTTGCCGCGTATCACCGAGAACCACCGCGTCCTTAAATGATGGCTGCTTTGGGTCCGGCGAGAGGGACGGCTTTGGGGCCCTCTGACCAGCAAGCCGGTCGGCAGAGTCAACTGGTGTGAACGCCCTTTCCCGACACGCTCAGAGTGCTGGCCCCCAACGCGTCCGGAAACGCGTGGTGGGGCCTCTCTCTCCCCTGACCTAGCAGTCGAGGGATCTCGTGCTGCACACGGAGCATTTCTCTGGGTGACTTTCTCCTTCGGAGGCTCGGCTCCCTGGCGGGGGTTGATTTCTGCGGCTGGAGTGGTTCCCGTCGGAGGGGCGTGTGAGCTTTGATGTTCGTGGTCCTAAGGAGACTGCAGAGGGCTCTCTCGAGGGCAGGGCGCGCATGGGCCCATCCCCTGGGATTTTCTGTCTCCTCACTTTGTCTGAGACCTGAGCCCTGGGCCGCTCAGAAGAGGGGAGCCGTTGGTGCGCTGACTTCCGGCACGTTCCGCCTGGCCAGCCCCGTGCTGTGGTCCGAACAACGTGGCCACTACGCGGACTCAGGTCTGACGTGGCGCTTCGTAGCTGGAGGAGACAACGGGCTCCGTCGGAGGCAGGAGAGGCTGCTGGGGGCTGCACACAGAGCGGCGAGCTTGGGCTCCAAGCTACCTGTGCCTGGTCCGTCCGCTAAGGGATGCGCTCCCTGTTCCCATCATTCTTTCCCGACGACGGCTTCAGAGTCTTGCGCCCGGAAGGCCCCCCCACCCCGAGGTGTGGCAATGCGCAGTGACCCCGGCCAGATCCCAGAGCCTTGGCCTGCCCTTCGCAAGGCTTACGGGGTTGCGTGGGCCTCAGTTTCTCCGTCTGTAACGTGGAATGGCAGTCGTGTTTGTATCACTGGGTGATCGTGAGCAAAGGGAAGGGGCTTAACTCGAGTCTGGCACGAGGCAAATCCTGGGCTGTCGTTAATGTTGAATCACGTGTTGTGGTTCATCTGGAAGGGGGGCAGGAGCCTTTCCAAGTCCAGTCAACGGCAACACACACGCCTTTCTTGAAACTTCATAGGATGTGGTCGTGACTTTGAAGTAGAAAGCAAACACAGAAGGGTGCCTGGGAGGCTCAGCCAGTTGAGCCTCCGACTTCGGCTCTGGTCGTGATCTCACGGCTCGTGGGTTTGAGCCCCGCGTCGGGCTCTGTGCTGACAGCTTGGGGCCTGGAGCCTGCTTTGGATTCTGTGTCTCCCTCTCTCTCTGCTCCTCCCCCACTGACGAAAGCGCTCGCTCTCTCTGTCTTTCTGTCTCTCTCTCTCAAAAGTGAAAAAAATTTTTTTTAAATAATAATGAAAAAAAGGAAACAGAGAGATGGCAGGCACTATCCCACAAAAGATCCGGTTTTCCCAACAAGACCTAAGAATTTCATTGAAAGTTTTGCCCTATGGCTAAAAGAGGTTGTTCAGCAGTGGATTTGGGTTGTTTTAAAAGCGAAAGCAGGGGCGCCTGGGTGGCGCAGTCGGTTAAGCGTCCGACTTCGACCAGGTCATGATCTCACGGTCCGTGAGTTTGATCCCCGCGTCGGGCTCTGGGCTGATGGCTCAGAGACTGGAGCCTGTTTCCGATTCTGTGTCTCCCTCTCTCTCTGCCCCTCGCCCGTTCATGCTCTGTCTCTCTCTGTCCCAAAAATAAATAAACGTTGAAAAAAAATAAAAATAAAAGCGAAAGCAGCACAGGGCGGCTCCAGGCTCCAGCGGCTGAAGCCAGGCCGTGTCCTCTCCCTCCCGGGGTCCCTCGAGTCATAAACCGTGCTCTACGAGGGCCCCTCGCCCCCCCGCCCCCCCGGGCTTTCATCGGAGATGGCCAGGGCCCAAGGCGGTTGGCAGAACCATCCGCCCGCCGCAGCCTGGTGCCTCCCCCCACCCTGCTGGACACGGGCAGACCCAGAATCTGTTCAGAGACCGTCTGGGCGCACACGGCCGCTGAGGTGTGCCCGGGCCCCTGCCAGCGTGATTAGCAGATCGCGGCTGTCGCCTCGATTTCAAGGAGAGACGTCCTGGCTAATGAATCACTCCCGGGGGTGTGTGTGCTCCGATTACAAGGAGCGAAGGGTGGCAGTTTTGGAAATAGGATAGCCCCCAGGAGAACCCAGTTGTGCAAGCTGACCCGATTGGAAGCGGCACTGGGGCTTAGGTGCGCTTTCCTGGTGAGAAAAACCCACGCGTTCCACCAGATACTCAAACGCTCGCAAGGTGGGGAGTCACTCTTTAAGGAGGGGCTTTTGCCATGCCCCGGTGGCGCCCCCAGGTCCCGATCACCAGAACGCTTCAGAGGTTTCCAGACGTTCTCGGAGCCAGCATCACTCCTGGTGGAGAAACCCCGCATTCGATAGCCTGGATGAGGAGGCAGAGGAAAAGAGAGAGGGAGAGAAATGGGGCGGGGGGCGGGGGGCAGGGAGAGAGAACCTCAAGCAGGCTTCCCAGCACGGAGCCCTACGCGGGGCTTGATCCCACGACCCCTGGATCATGACCTGAGCCGAAACCAAGAGTGGGACCCTCAACCGACTGAGCCGCCCAGGTGCCCCGGATGAGGGCCCCTCTTGCACTCTGCTGGCCCAGCCTTCTGCGGCCACGACCGGGCAGCCGCCCAGAGGTCACCAGGGCACGGACGTGACCTGCCTTTGCTCCGCAGAGGCCAGCGGGCGTGCAAGGCCGCGCTGCTCCTGGGCAGAATGTGCGCCCCGACGGGGCCTTTCTCCCGAGTCAGGAGGTTTATTGCTTTGAAGACGTCCTGGGATGACGTCCTAGGGACGCGGACCGGTTAGTGCCCTGGGGCAGCCCGAACAAATGACCACAGATTGAGTCTCACGGTTTGGGGGACCAGATGTCCAAAATCCAGGTTTCGGCAGGGCTGTGCTCCCTCTGAAGGTTTCAAGCGCAGGGTCCTTCCTGCCTCTGTCAGCTTAGGGGGCCCCCGGCATCCCTGGGCTGTGGCCGCGCCCCTCCAGCCTCCGCCTCCGCCCTCCGCGGGGCCGCCTTCCGTGTGTCTCCTTTGCTTGTAAGGGCCTGCCCTCCCGCGCTGTGACCACGTCTTAACTTGAGCGCATCTGCAGTCTTATACCCAAATAAGCTCCCGTTCTGAGATTCTGGGGTTAGGACGTGGACGTCTCTTTGGGGGGACGCCACCCACCCCCTGCAACAGCTGAGGCTGCGCTGGAGCGGGCATCTCAGGGGTGGCGCGGTGCCCGCGGTGGGCGGGAGAGGCGTGGCTCGTGGTCGGGGGCAGATCGGGGCAAGTGGTCTGGAGGGCGGGGTCCGGCCTCGGGCAGGTTGTCCGGCTGCAGGGCCTGGAGACGCATAGGAACGCTGGGGCGGGGGGGGGCCATCGGGATGCTCACTCCGACTCAGCAGGCGGGGGGCGGGCCTGAGCGGCGTCTCCAACCAGCTCCCAGGGTGCACGGTGGCTGAGGAGCCCGGAACGTACTTGGAGTTGTGAGGAGCTGGCAGGCCTTTTCCTTCAGAAGCATCCCCCGAGATGGGCCCCCCGGTGTCCACGCGAGCCCCCCGCCGTGCACTGTTCGGTCCCCCAGAGGCAGCCCCGGACAGAGACCCCAGCAGTAGCTATGCTGGGCCGAGGGGGCACGGGAAACACAC